CCCACCCCCACTGCTGGGGGCGGTTTGGGAGTGGCAGTCCAGCCCTGCCACGGAGCTGCCGGCTCGGTAGGAAGCATCTTGCTGCATTGCAGAAGGCAGCTCCTGGCCAGCAGACAGCACGGTGCAATTTATTAGCAACCAGCCTATTGATTCGTGCATCTGAATCACCCTCCGCCAGAACCACCCTGGCTGCCTTCCACGGTGAAGGCATCGTGAATGCGGGCAGAAGTTCAAGGGCTCTGAGCTGCAGGTGTGCTGTTTGCAAGGGGAAAAGGCACGAGTCCTGTCCTCTGCTCTTCTGGGCGGGGGGAAGTCCTGGCAAGGCCCAGCTCCATCTCAACCTGGAGCCCCTTGGCAGCCTGGTCAGGCGCGATGGGGAGAGGGGCTGGCTGTGCCCTGTGCGGTGTGGGTTTAACCCGGTGTTTCCCCTTGGTGCTGTTCCCCGCGCAGGGAGATGAAAACAAATCCGTCAGGGACCGTTTCAACGCCCGGCAGTTCATTTCCTGGCTACAGGACGTGGATGACAAATACGACCGGATGAAGGTGAGGGGGGTTTGGGAGCTCCTGCGTGGGGCGTGTGCCAGGCCCAGAAGCCAGCGGCAGGCCCTGCCGACTCTTCAGGCAGTGTCAGGTTGCAGTGTCCCCCTTGGGAGAGCGGCTGCTGCTTTGGCCAGCCCCAAAAGCTGTCTGCATGGCTGTGCCAGCCCTGGGGGAGCTCTTTGAGGCATGCGGAGTGCCTGCCTGCCAGCTGCACGCAGCTGTCCAGAGTTTCGCCCTTGGCTACGGGTCAGGGAGGAAGAGGCAGGTGAAGGCAGCGGAGCTCACACAAGGTCACGGAGAGCAGTGGACCCCCACCCAAACATGAGCAGCCGGGCTGCAGCTGAGAGCAGAGTTTGGGCCCGAGGCCTGGGGAAGGCAGCAGCCCCCGTCTGCCTCATGTACTGGGTGGACCCCTCCGTGCAGCAGCTCGAGCCTCCCAGCCTTCGCCTGCAGGCGTTCTCCGCTGAGGCCGGGCCACGCTGCACCCCATCTCACTGCGGGAGCACAGGCAGCAGGTATGGATGCCTGAACATCTGACTGCTGGTGGGATCTTGCCGTGCGTCAGCTGCTCCGGTATCTGCCCCCGTGCACGCACCCTTTTCCTTAGGGGCCGAGCAGCCGTGGCTGGGCCTCTGCTCCTGGCAGGCGTTGCAGGGCAGCACGTGTGGAGCAGAGCCCTGCTCCAAGGGACGTCGTCCCCGTGCCTTTCCACCATGGCCACACTGGGCTGTGGCAGAGCAGGGCATCATACCCCCGACTCCCAACCCCCAGCGGGGCCCACGGAGGCAGTGAGAGTGTATGCCTCCACCTGCCGTCCCCGGGGTCCTTCCTGGGATGCTGCTCGACAGACTTAGCCCTTACCCAGCCTGTCGGGCCCCGTCCGAGGACACGTCTGTCCAGCAGTACGGTGGCAGGCTGTGCCTGCTTGCTCCGGGCACCCACAGGGCAGCCTCGAGAGCTCTTCGCCCTCCTTGCCCCTCCCCGCTCACCCCATTTCTGCTTGGGTTTGTCTCCCGGTGCAGACGTGTCTGCTCATGCGGCAGCAACACGAAGCCGCCGCCCTGAACGCGGTGCAGAGGATGGAGTGGCAGCTGAAGGTGCAGGAGCTGGACCCTGCGGGACACAAGTCCCTGTGCGTGAACGAGGTGCCCTCGTTCTATGTGCCAATGGTGGACGTGAACGACGACTTTATGCTCTTGCCGGCATGACGGTACCCACCCGGGAGGCACTCTCGCTGGAAACCGGCACGGACAGGAGCCCTCCGAGGACAGACGCTGGAGCTCACGTTCATCCTTCCCACTTGCTGATGAATCCCTGGTCAGAGAAAGAGGAAGCATCTCCCGGCAGAACACACACCAATACGACTACAATTGCACTTTCTTCACCACGTCTCCCTCGTTTCTGGCCGGAGCGCGGCGGCGCCCGGCGGCGGGGCGGGGGACGCCTCTCCTTTCAAACCGGTCACCGCCGCAGGGGGTGGCCAGCCCGCCCGGCGAGTGGGGCCGGCGGCCGGGTGGTTCATGGACGCCCGAGCGCGGCGCTTTCACGCTCTGGATCCCCCGCCGGCCCGCGCGCCTCCCCGCCGAGAAGCCGCAGCAGGGAGTGGGGGTCCGGTTTCTCCTCCCATCCGGGCGGCGCTGGGAACTGCAAACCGAAAGCAAAGCGAGCGTCCAGCTTGGGCAGACGCGGCTCTGGAGGTGGGAACCGCCGCGGCCCCAGGACATGCCCCGGGGTCACCACCACATCTGGAGCAGCGCGGAGGCCGTCGGTGGGAGCGCGGGACAGGCGTGGTGAGTGTCTGGGGCGGCCGCGGCGCCGCCGAGCACGGACGTTGCCGATTGTGTTTTTAATGGAGTAAAATCCATGTGGTTTATATATATTTTTTTTCCTTTAATCTTGGGCATTTCGTTTCTCTTTCTGAGAACATAACTTGAAAACACTACAGAGCCAATACTCATATAAAGATAAATTGTATCCCATAAATGCTGTACAGTTTTTATATACATTAACAATGTACTTTTGCTGCCTTCTAGATAATTTATTTTGCAACACATTACTGCACAGTTGTAAATAACTTATGTACTGTAACATCACTCTCAGTTATGTGTAAAGAAATAAATAAATTAATTAAAATTATCTTTGTATGTATAGTTCGCCCCAGGCAGCACTTTCCCTTCCAAGGAAAACGGCAGGGCCAAACCGGCAAGCGGCGCGCGGGATGTCGAGGGCGGGTGGCGCGACCCGCGGCTGTGCCGCGCAGACCTCCCGGCGCTGACCGCTTGCTAACAGCCGGGTTTCCTTCCCCCGAACGCTGCTGAGCGCGGCGGAGCTGCGGAACAGGCCCGCGGAGCTGGGCAGGGGTATTTGCAGGCTGGGGACAGAGGGCGGAGGACGGAGAGCCCTGCCCTGACGCGCTAACGGGGTACCGAGTAGACAGCCGGGGTGTCGTGCACCCCGGTACCGCGTAGGTCGGGGAGGTGGAGAGGCGCGGGGTCGGGGCCACGTGGCTGGCGGTCCACTTCTGCACAGGTGGCTTGGCTAGCGGTGCTGTCCGGGTGGAGCCAGCTGCTTGCAGGGCCCGCGGGTTTCAAGGCCTGGAGGGCTGGCGAGGCTGCTGCCACCCGGTAGCTCGGGCAAGGGCAGGACTTGAGCCCCGGGTGCCTTGCGTGGTGCTGCTGCGCCCTCAGCCCTGCTGGCAGGGACCGTGCCGCTGGCCCAGGCAGGCCTGGCAGGGGGTGGGCATGTCTGGCTTGGTTCCTGCGCAGGGTGGGGAGGCTGGGGCAAGGGCACCGCTGTCGGTGCAGCCCGTTGAGCCCGCTTCCCCCCGGCAGAGCAGCGGCGCGGCTGGAGGGGCCGGGCGCCTCCTCCCGGCGAGCCCCGCTGTGCTGCGGCTGCAAGAGGCTGCTCCCGGCGGAG